TTATATATATATATATATATATATATATATATATATATATATATATATATATATATATATATATAATACATATATATATGTATAAATATATATATATATATATATATATATATATATATATATATATATATATATATATATATATATATATATATATATATATATATATATATATATATATATATATATATATATATATATAATATATATATATAGGGTTATTTCATATGAAATCCTCCAGACCATGACACCCTTATGTTTTAGAATTTGTTCAGTTTTACACCACTTGCAGTCCATAATAAAAAAATAATAACTGTAAAAATTTTAGTCAAAAATACACATGGTTCCAGAGATATAATGCTGACTCAGCATTTCAGTGATTTTCTGTAGCGACTACAAAGCAACTTTGACATTAAGTATCTTCATAATGGCTTGGGGAAATTTCCTAAAATTTGGTACCCCAATAAGTTTTTACTTAAGGAATCAAAAAATAGCACCCTCAAGACTCGATTGTCTCAAGAATGCCTCATTTATCCAATTTTATTCAAAATTTTTGACTTGTAAATTAATGACTTTTGGAGGTAAAATAAAGACTGTGGCCCAAAATCCCAAGTAAAAAGTTTAATTGTATATCATTATTTCATCTTAGGTCTACTGAAAAAAAGTAGATTCATCAATTGTCTTTCTAATACTTGATCTAAGTTTGCATTTAAAAATGGTGTCTTTTTAGAAAAATTTAATTTTTGTAACAAAAGCAATTAAAATATTTTTTAAAACATTTATTTGAGTAAAACATTAGTGTTATTTGTTGACTAGTTTAGGACATTTATAGTCATGGTTTATGGGAGGTCCAGGGGCCTTGATTGACCTACGCACCCCCCCCCCCCGCCCTTATACCGAGACATTTTATTTTTTATTTTTACATAAAATGAGTAAGTAATAAAAAATTAACAAATTACAATTTAAAAACAATTTTCAAGATCTTTTAACGATTTAAAAAGTCATTAATTTTAAAACAAAAAATATTGAAATGTTTTTCAAACATTTTAACAATCAATATCTTTATGGTATTATTTAGTAGTTCAAGACTAATATAGTCATTGACATAATAGGTGGAGATTGGGATTTATTTAAACCCCACCCCCACCTTCTCAGCCTACAATCCAAGGATTTTAAAAAAAGAAAAAGACAAATTCTAAATGCAAAATAGGTAAATAAGATAAAAAACAAAATTATTTTTAATGTAATTAATTTTTTTTTGAAACCAACAGCTTATATTCTCTAAATCTAAATCAGATATGTTGTACGTACGTCCTGATATTGTTGTGGGTGTAGAAATTAGGCATATAACTTCAGAATTGAGCACTCAACACTCATCATTTCTCATTGGCCAAAAGAAGTTTTTACCTAGTCCATGTGGATGCATGAATCTGACTTTTATATCAAGGTCACTTACATCTTCAGCAATCCCTACCCACCAAAATCCATCATAAAAACATGCAATATAATCCATTTTTTTAATATTTAATGAAATCTCTACATTATGTTTGCTTTTTGGAATGATATCAAATATTTCAGTGCATGTATCAATACTTGTTTTTTTATAACTTATAGTGTTAGGAGCAATTGGAATAAAATGATGATACATCCTTGTGTCAGGAACAGTTCTACTACCTGAATATCTTTTTTCTAATTGTAATTGTGTTTGGTCGATTTCTTCTTTTACAAATAACTTGAAACAAATTTCATTTATTTTGGCTTTACAAAAGGAGTACATTAAATTAACATCTAAAATCTGCCAATTGTTGTTATTTTTTTCAGACTTTCTTGAAACACTTTTAACAGTCCCACCAATACCATCACAAGGGGATTTACCATGACTGGTAGCAAAAAATACCCATTCAGCATTTAAATCAAAGTCTTTACTGTGATGACAAAGATTGATAAAATTTTTAAAATTTTTAAATTGTGCTGCACAACCATCAAAAAAGTATTTCACACTTGATACATCAAGTAGATTTTCTTTGATATATCTATATATCTTCCTGAGTCTTGTAAATAAATCCTGTATCATGGTCAACATCTTCTGAAAGGTAACAAAAAGATTTATGTTTGAGAAGTTTATTCTCTATAAATAAAGTACAATTGTATAAAGTGAACATTGACTTTTGCTCCAGTGATAACTTTAAACCTCATCCTGAACAACATATTGATAATTTTCAGCAAAATCTCCTAAAATCAAGCATTCATTTTGGTTGAGATTTTCTTTACAGTTTTTTAAGTATCTACTTTGTATTTTTGCAATATATGAATGAGTGGTAAGGTTGTCAATGGTGTCACATAATAAATCATTAAATACATCAGTGACAATGATTGCAATAGTAGTGTTGTACGATCGGTACTCTGCCATTGCTTGGTACGATCGGTACTCTGCCATTGCTACATCTTCTTTGAGCTCACGGTCCATAAACTCCTGCACTAAAAAATTTTTTAATGCCAGGGCATTGGTTATATCGATTTAACATACGTTCTGCATTTTCAAGAAAGCAAACAATGCCATAAAATCTTTATAACTTTTATTCCACCTAATGGCATCAATGAGAAATTTTGTATTTTGGTGATGTATGCATACACATACATTGTGAGTACCTGATGCATTAGTTGTAATACACCATTTAGGTTCAAGAGTACAAAACTTCTACAAACTGACTTTGACGTTAGGGTAGTCTTTTTTAAATGCAACATGTAATTCATTTAGATTGATTAGCAATAATCTTTTTTGAACATGTTGGTTTTTCTTAACACTTATATAATCTTTTTTTCCTGGCATTATTCTTAAAAATTCGTCACTTAGATAAAAATTAATCACTAAATTAACTGTTTCTGATGAAAGTAGGTTTCCAGTTTTCTTCAGACAAAGATAGAATTCCATGCTCATTTTTAACTTTTCTTGCAGTTCGAGCAAGATACCATTTTTGCAACTCTGTCAATAGTGTTCTTAAACTTTTGTTTTTCTACGGGCAACTTGCTGTGTTTTGAAAGACTTTTTAGTTTGACTGGTGAAATTCCAAGCAATTCTATAGTGGTATCTAACTTAATTTTTTCTCACTTTTTGATTCCCATTCCTCCTGTGAATTTAAATCTTCTTCAGTTTCTATTGCTTTTTTGTAACAGTTACTGCAGAATTTCCAACCTGGGGTTACATAAGCGTTATTTTCTTGCAAAAATTTTGCCATGTCTATGGAAATCTTTATATTACCTAAAAAGGAAATTTAGTTTTAGGTTTTTAAAATAACTGAAATTATAAAAATTTTTATAAATGATAAATTGTTTTTCTTATAACTTCCATATCAATTCTGTTGTAAATAAAGTTAGATTACCTTTTATATCAATTTTTTTACTTTCCTTGTGTGTTCCAAAAGGATTGCAGCACTTAGAAATTTTTCTCTCAAAATATTTTCCATAGAATTGTTCATGATAACAACATATAATTCTTATTGAAATATATTTTTCTTTTAAATTTGTTCGCCATATTATTTCTTTTTGTTTTTCACAAGGAAGATCTTTAAATTGAACAAAACCTTGTTTTCTAGAAAATCCAGTTTTGTAGCAATTAATGTTAAGACTTTTTCCAATGTTACATTTCTCCATATTAAATATTTTCATTATTTATTACCTGCCAAAAAAATGTAAAATATATAAAATTCACAGTCATTCTTTAGGAAATTACAAATAAGTAAAGTATCTTTAAAAAGAAAAAAACAAAACTTTTGCTTGTTTTTGATATAATAGGAGGTTTTAATTCACCAATTTGAAATAATGAAAATAAATTGTTTCTCAAACTTAAACACAAACAAAAAAAAATATGTTTTTAAATTGTGTTTTATGTTTAATAAAAAAAAAAAAAAAAAGGGAGATGGGGGGGAGGTGCGGAAATTCATCCAAGGCCCCCTGGACTTCCCTTAAACCATGACTATAAATGTCCTAAACTAGTCAACAAATAACACTTTTTGATGTTTTACTCAAATAAATGTTTTTAAAAATATTTTAATTGCTTTTGTAACAAAATTTAAATTTTTTTAAAAAGACATCATTTTTAAATGCAAACTTTGATCAAGTATTAGAGTGACAATTGATGAATCTACTTTTTTCAGTAGACCTAAAATGAAATAATTATATACAATTAAACTTTTTACTCTGGATTTTGGGCCACAGTCTTCATTTTACTTCCAAAAGTCATTAATTTACAAGTCAAAAATTTTGAACAAAATTGGCATTTCTTGAGACAATTGAGTCTTGAGGGTGCTATTTTTGGATTCCTCAAGTAAAAACCTATTAGGGTACCAAATTTTAGGAAATTTCCCCAAGCCATTATAAAGATACTTTATGTCAAAGTTGCTTTATAGTTGCTTTAGAAAATCACTAAAATGCTGAGTCAGCATTCTTTCAACTGATAATATCTCTGGAACCCATGTGTATATATATGTATATATATATATATATACATATATATACATATATATATATATATATATATATATATATATATATATATATATATATATGTATATATATATATATCTATGTGTGTGTGTGTGTATATGTATATATATATGTATATATATATATATATATATATATATATATATATATATATATATATATATATATGTATATATACATAGATATATAATTTTCGACACCCTTATGTCTCAGAATTTGTTCATTTTTACACCACTTGCAGTCCATAATAAAAAAATAATAACTGCAAAAATTTTAGTCAAAAATACTCATGGGTTCCAGAGATATCATCAGTTGAACCTTATTAATACAAATCTTTGATCGAGTTTTTATTTTTTTTTTTATCGTCATAATTTTGTAATTGTATTCTATAATTTCCCTGGTTTTATCACTCAGATTTTGCAACTATCTGTGTAAAAATTTTGTTATTTTATTTTAATTATTTTATTTATATTATTTTTTTTTTTTTTGTATATTAGGATGGAAAGTCTTATTACCAAATTCTCTGGACAGGTACAACGTGGGATGAAAAAACCGAGTTACTATCTAATTCGAAAACTAAATCATTGTTGACACAATATCTTGAAACGAAAAAAGATTTTGAAAGTTCAAGTAGAGAAAACATGGGAAAAAATCCTGCTTTCCTAACTTCCATAGAAAAGTTACCTTCCATAGAAAAGTTACCAGATAATCACACTAGTATTAAAGCCCTAGATGAGGTAGAATCAAGTCTAATTTTGAATGAAAGTAATAAATGTTTCACAACGACAGATTTAGATAAAAGTAATTCATGCTCAGAAAGTTTTAAAATGCCATCATTACCTGCAGATTGTTCTGTAGATATTTTTTTCCAGGAACCCATTTCTTCTAAAAATGAAAAACTCCATAGAGAGACTGTTACTGATATCAATATTGTTAAGTACAAAAAAAATCTATATTCACAGAGAAAAAAATCAACTAGCATAAATACATTGGAAAAAGTACCTTCTCCTCAATCAAGCTCACTTCTTACTCAGTCTTTTGATAATCCTCAAACTATTCAAGTCACTCAGATAAACCAAAAGGTTAGTAGTGTAACTCAGACAGTTAATTCTAATACAATAACATGCTCCCAAAGTTATCTTAACTATATTCCGGTTCAAGCTGTTTTATTAAACAAATTATGTAAAGAAAATAGCTCACATGCTGCTGGTTTAAAGGTAACTTTAATAAAAATTATATGCTTCTTCAAATTTATTTGATAGATAAAAATTTATTTAATAAATATTTTAATAAATTTATTTTTTAACAGGATTTACACCATGAAAGTAGCTTAGAGACAAACCATGCAAATAAGTTAACAACAAATTTTGAAGGTTTTTTGATTATTTTTTCTAAGATTTACTTGAAAATGAAATAATAGATAAATATTAATTTTTTTTTGTTTGTTATTTTTATTGTTTATTTTTCGTTGTTAAATATTTCTGTTAATAGTTTTTAATATTAATTATTTTAATAATTTTTTACAAATAGTGTTTTTTATTAGTTATTTAAATATATATTAAACTAAATAATTTATGTAATAATTTTATTTTTTTCAGAAAAACCAAGGTTAGACACCAAGACAAAAATTCAGTGCCAACATTGTTCCATGTTTTACAACTCTCAACAATATGCATTACATAATCTTTTATCTTTGAAACGCTTGTGCCCAATATGTAATCTTAGATTATGCAATAAAAAGAAACTGATGAAGCACATAATAAATCATGAAAAGACAAATCACATATGTTCACATTGTTTCAAATTATTTTCAAAAAAAAAAGATTTTATGTTTCATGTCCAAAGTCACACAAACCAAGTAAAGAAAAGTAAAAAAATATGTAAAGGTTTTTTTTCTCTCCGAAGACATACTCAAAAGTATTCTGGTAATACTGAAGTGCTGTACAAATGTATTATTTGCCGAAAGCAATTTTCAAGTGAATTTTTTTTGAAAAAGCATACCACTCTTCATAAACTTATTTTTAATCACAAAAAATCATTGTCATGTCCAGGAGAAAATAATATAAATAGTTGCAATCAAAATACTTTGGCAAAGAAAAGACGGTTTAATGCCATTTTAATGTATCAATTTACTAATAAAAGTAAGCTTAAAAAATCAGTTTGCATTAGTTGTATTATAGGTTTTAAAAATCCAGAATCATTCTACAAACACATCAACAGTAATGATTGTGTAATGATTAAAAACAGTGGTCAGTGTGTTTGTTGTAAACAGACCTTTAACTCACTAGATATGCTTAGAAACCATATGACCACATGTTTTAAAGATAGTCTTGTATCATTATTAAAACCATTTAATAAAACAACTAACAAAATAGAAAGCTCAACACAAAATTCTAGACATGCAGTATATCATTGTTCTAAATGCAATAAATTTTTGTTGTCTCCTCACATTTCCTGTACTCATAATAAAGTTTTCCATTTAAAAAGAGGACTTTTTTGTTCTCGTTGTCCCTTTAAATGTTACAACCGTTGCTTGATGAGTAAACATGTCGAAAAGTGTGTTAAGTCTTTTAAATGTTTTGTTTGTGATGAAAGTAGCATTCCTTCTCCTGAATTTAGCTCTCAGTCTTTGCTTATAAACCATTTAAAGACGCATAAAAAACAAGTAAAGTTACAAAAACCTCTGAAACCTGCTACAATAAATGATTCTATTGGACAAACTGTAATGGTATCATTAAGTTCGAGCGATATCAAAAAATTGTTGCCAGAAACTCTTGGTCTATGTGAAATACCTGGTTTTGGTAAATACGTTTTAAAAATAGTAGAAAGTGAGCTGGAGTTAGAGCTAATTGCAAAGAGTGTTTTGGATGTTGATACTTCAACCAATCAGCCAAAAAGTAGTTTGAAATGTTTTAGTTGTTTATCAGAGCATCAGAGTCATCTAATTCTTGAACATTTTAAAAGCATTCACAATTGGATCACAAACTGTTTTTATCCATGTAAGAACTGTAACTTAGTTTTTCAAAATGAGATTGGTTTGAACAATCATAACATTTATCCTGGTAGATGTATCTTGGATCAAAATCAAAATTTACTTATGAATCAAAAAGACATTGAAAATCAAACAAAGAAAAATCTTATTGAACAATCTAAAAATCCAGCAGTTATTGTTTGTCTTCATTGTGATTTACCTTTTTTTACAGAGCAGCGCTTTCATAATCATAAATGTACAGAAACTAATAGAGTTTCAAAATTAGTTCAAATTGACTGGGCTTGCTTAATTTGTAAAAAGAAAATTGATCAAAGTATTCAAGCCCACTGTGCAACACATTCTGCAGCCATTTTTGAATGTTTTTTTTGTAATTTGAAAGTTTTAAGTAAATTTAAGTTAGTGAAACATTTTAAAGAACAGCATAAAAAAACTTGGGGATCGAAAATGGAACACTGGGTCAATGAAATTCAAAACGATGCTGATGAAGTAGTACTGGATAAAATTTATCACAAAAAATTACTTCCTTCTGATAAACTTGGTAATTTTTTTATTAAATATTTTCAACAATTTTTTTTTAAACAATGGATCAACTTATTTTTAGTTTAAAAATTTTTTTTAATTTTTTTTTGTATTTTTGTATTTTTTTTTTTTAATGTTAAAAAATGATTATCATACTCAGTAAAGAAAAAGTTTTTAGATAAATTTAAAATAATAACTAGTGATGTTAACATTTCTTTTCCATATAAAAGTCCAAATAATAAATATAGCGATAATAAGAATTTAAACAAAACATTTGTTTACTTTTGCTTAAATTGTTTAATAAACTCAAAAGTTTGCGATCACTAAACATCAAATGTTTGGGATCAAAAAACATAAAAAAGATGTAGGAGTTTTCGTTTTAAGTGTTGAAATTGATTAAATAGAAATTATAAAATAAATATTATCACAAAAAAAAAGGCAGACTAAATACAGTAGACAATTTCATTTAATTTTTTTATTTACTTTATTTAATAAGAAATTAGTATCTTAATCCACCAGCAAAAAAAAAAAAGTAAAACTCTAATTTTTTCTAAGAAAGATCTTTTCATATCATTTTCAATCATCAATTGATAGTTTTTTAACAAAAATGATATTTTCATCTGTTACCTCTTTAATTTCAATTTTCTTTTGTAAAGATAAAACCTGCTAGGAAAAAAACACCAGCTAAGAAAAAAAACTTTTACTTTTATTTTAGCGAGTCACAGTGGGCCATAAAGACTGTCAGGTTTAAACTCTCACTGCCTCTAATTTTTTTTCTTTTTAAGCTAATATAGTTTATATAAGTACTTTCGAGTGCAATTTAAATCTGGAATTGATCAAAAGAGTTTTAATTTAAAGGTTTTAAAAGTGTAAATAACTAAAAATTTAGTTTTAAAAATGACGAAATCCACCATTATTGGCTTTAAATAATTTATTTTTTTTAATAATTTTGAAATGATAAGGAAAAATTTTAGGAGAAAAAGAAACGAAATGGTAAATATAACGATATTTGGCTGAATTAAAACAGTCTGTCTCAACCCTTGGAATTAGGAAAAATGAGGTCAGCAATAAATTGCCAACCTCAAACTGTTAGAGGTCGGCAAAAAAATTTGAGTTACCATAAAATATAGAAATGAGGTCAGCATTTTTTTGCCGACCATAAACACTTTAAGGTCGGCAGTTAGGTCGGCATTGCCGAGTGCTGATCCTAATTCCGAGGGTTGCTGTGTAGTTTACTTGAAAAAAAAGTAAACATTCAAAATCATTATCAAAAGTACAACCATAGCAAATAAAATCATAATAGTAAAGAGTTGGCCTGAGTACAATGAAGAGTTTATTGTCTGCCCGGATGTAATTTGTTCAAATTGTAGAAAAACATCTTTTTGCTGGAGAAGGAACCAAGCATTTATCAGTCAAACTGGATGAGTAAAGTATATAATTTATTATTGATTCAAGTTAAATAAGTAATACATAAATAAATAAAAAAATATAAAATTTTTATAGAGTATATATTCTTAAATTAGGATTACAGGCCAAGAATTAGATGTAGTACTGAGCTTAGTGATATTATTCAATCATCTTATGTTATATTAGCTGTAGAATATCTAAAGGACAGTATGTGCAGTTGCTGCTTTTCTCTTCTTCATAAAGAGGTTTATGATTAGTTATTAAATTACTTTATAGGTAAATTAAAAGTGGTCAAATATTCATTTATAAATTTCAATTAAAAAAAAAAAATTTTTCAAAGGTTATTAAGTCTATATTAATTTAAGAGTTAATTTTATTCTACATGGGTGGTCTAACTAAGTGATTAATTTCATCATTAGTAGACAATCCCAGATTTTTATGCAGACTTTATCAATTTTTTGCTTGATTTTTTGAGTTGCATAACAATCTCCATAAAAAAAATTAATTTTTTTATGGAGATTGTGATGAACTTTGAGATCATTGGCCTCTGTTTACGAAATAGCTTAAAACTAATCTAATACCTTTGTTTATTGCCTCAGAAAATTTTTGAATTTTTGAATAGTGCACATTTGGACAAAAATTAGACAGCAATGTTCCTTCAGTTATTGAAAAGTTCAAAGTATCATTGTCTGACCTACAGCAGTATGCAATAATTTATTTAAATGCGAAGCTGAATGTTACATGGAAAGGGCGTATAATGGTTTGGCATATTCTCTCATTTGTGAAATTTATTTCTCTAAAATCATATGCTGAACAGACAGATAGGCTGTTCATAGCGCCTTCAAAACAAGTTAGTCTTGAAATAAGTGAAGTATTGGACTTACAGATAATAGTAAACAATTGAAATCTGCAGCTTTTTGTGTGGATAAGTTTTGTTAATATTGTAATATATAAATAGTTATGTTAATGTTTTTGTTGCATTTATTGTTTTTTCCTTATTTTTACTGTTAGGTGTTCTAAACTTAAATTGATTTAAATTTCTAATACACCAAAGGTAGCTTTGGTGTATTTAAATCAATTTAAGTTTAGAATTGTAGTAGGTGTAGCACTGTTACTTAAAGGAAAATAAAAAAGATATTGATTTAAAAATTGTTGTTTTCAAGAAGTTATTGTAAACCTAAAGGTGGTTACTTTGTCACTTTTAGTGATACTTGATACTTTACTTGATACTTGATACTTTACTTGATACTTTTAATAGTCTTTATATTTCTCCAATACAAAAAAATAACCTATTTAAGCAGCATCTATTATTATATGATATAAAAGAGGTGGAGTTCAACCTGGCGGTTTTTATGGCACACAGTGGGGTGTTTTAGCTAAAAGTAAATAATTTTACTGAGAAAAAAAGTAAAACTATACTTTTTACTTAGTAAGTTTTTAAAAAATTATCGTTTGTTTTGGGCAATTCAAAACAATATACTAAAATTGTTGATTGGGCAATTCATTGGTATACTGGTAGGACCAATTGTTATACTGTATACTGGTATTGTATACTGGTAGGACCATTTGCTATACTGGTAGGCAATTCATTGGTATACTGGTAGGACCAATTGGTATACTAGTAGGACCAATTGTTTATTGGGCAATTCAAAACAATATACTAAAATTGAGAAAAGTGAAAAGATTTATTGAGAGTTGAAAGCAAAGTATAAATATTTATATTGTATTTTCTTAAAAGATTATTATTAAATAATTATGTTTTTTAAAAAGTGTTTTTTTACCAAGCTTTATAACAGTATGACCCAATAAAATATTGCGCAAAAAACTCAAAAAGCATAAAGCAAGTGCTGCGTTTACAATATCAAGGTGAAAATCACAAATTAAATTTGATTGTCGGGGAAAAAAATTGATTGTCTAGTTTTCAATATTTTTCATTTCAGCTGATCAGTGTTGATCAGCAACCTTTAAATATTTCCAGGACTGATAATTTTAAATATTTCCAGCACTGATATATTTTAAATATTACCAGCACTGATATATTTTAAATATTTCCAGCACTGATATATTTTAAATATTTCCAGCACTGATATATTTTAAATATTTCCAGCACTGATATATTTTAAATATTTCCAGCACTGATATACTTTAGATATTTCCAGCACTGATATATTTTATTAAATTTAAAACAATTCTTGATAATAAGTCTACTTCAAAGAAACATGTTGAACATAATGCTACAAGGGAAACGGATTTGTTATAAACTTTTTGCATGTTAGATAAATTCTGCCACTGCAATATTCTGCTTGATTCTATAAATGTATTGATTATTAAAAAACATCTTGCACATAAAACAAGTCACTGAAATATTAAGGCTTGATTAGTATTACTCTAAATATGTAATCGTAAACTTACCTATAACCATAACAACAAACCCAGGCTTGTTGTGAGTAAAATAAAATGAAAGATGATAAAGTTGATATGATGTTATATAATTAAAATTCATAATAACTTAAAAAGAACTTTTAAAAATATCTGTTTTTAGTTTTTTAATTTTGTTTTCTTAGTTCAAGTTTTTTTATTGTTCATTTGATGTTTTTTATAAATGTATTTTTAATTTTAGAATCAGATTTTAAATGTCAGAGCTGTTTGTTAGTATTTTTTCATGCAGAGACATTAAAAAATCACATGTTGCATGTATGCAAAGACAAATCAATAAATAAATGGAAGGGGGTTTCCTTGAATGACAGGAACTGCCCAGAATGTCATAAATGTTTTAATAATGAATCAAGCTTTCTTCATCATTGTTTGCAATCTCATGGTGTTGTATTTAAGCTTAGATGTTTTATCTGTTCTAAACTTTGTATGAATACAAAAGAGATCCTTAAACATATATCTAATGACCACAATTTGACTGATGTGTTGTGGGTATCGGATTATTTTGAAAAAGCTGAAACTGTGGCTTATTTTCGAGGGACCAATTGTTGTACATGTTGTTTAGGAATTTTTAACGATAACTTATCTTTATTGCAACATATGTTTATTCATATAGAAATAAAAACTGAAGTTTGTAATGCTTGTGGCAAACATTTTGTTACTTTAGAAGAGCTTAAAATTCATGTTTACACTTTTCATAAATGCTTTTTTTGTGAGTGTTGTCGTCGCATGTTGCACTCTTTTGATGATCTTTATTTTCACTCACAGCTCCATGTTTTAGAACTGAATATTCCGAGAGACGAAAATGGTAAAATAATTGTTGAGGTTCAGGAAGATTCAAAGTCTGATGATTTTCAAAAACTTTTTCCAGATGAAACCATTGAGCAACCCTTGTTTAGCATTGCACCTAAAGTGAAGAGAGATATTCTTGAAGATGATCGTTTGTTTAATTGCTATGTTTGTCGTAAAAATGTTGAAGGAGAATTGACATTTATTGTACACATTAAAATGCACCCTATGCCAAGGGTGCTTTTTTGTTTATTATGTAATGGAAAATTTGATAACAGTTCTGACTTAGAGACACATTTAAAAAGCCATTTTGATAAAAATATGAACTTTTGTGAGGATTTTATTAAAGTCAATAACTTTCTAGAAGAAGATAAAGATGATTTTTTCAAGTGCAAAATTTGTTATGAAGTATTTGGTACTGAAGAAGAATTGGTAAATCACACATCATCTAAAAAATTTAATGACATAAAAATGAAATTATTAAAAAAAGCAATCATTACCTCATCGGTAACTAAACGTTATTTTGATGCAAAAAGTGATAATAGTAAAAAAGGGAAAGAAAATTTTTTTCCTTATATTGACTGGCAGTTGGCTGATTTATACAATTTAAAAAAAATATTTGATTGGAAGTTTGCAAAGATTGGTTCGCCGACTTGTAAAAATCTCTCAATAGATTTTAAAAAGGCTAAAAACTGTGAAGAAAATAATAATTTTTTAAACAAGTCTGTTACCATTACTAGTATAGATTTGACAACTAACAGTAGTTCGTCAGACATCAGATCGTCGGACATCAGAGCACACAATAACGATTTGGAGTCAGAAGAAGTTGAAGATATTACTAATAATAAGATTAACATTAAAAGAAATAAAGCGTTAAACAAAAATGCAAATGACACAAATTCTTCCAATAACAAAACTTATGAAAATGTGTCAACTGAACAATCAAACCAAAATAGAGTTTCTCAAAATGATTCATCTATTAAATATAATGGAAACGAAAATGTAGCAATGAACAGTCTTGGTGTTAACGTTCAAAAAAGTAAAGAACAGGTAGAAAACCTAACGAAAGAAATTCATAAACCAATTAAAGAATCATGTAAAACAAAACGCTTTGCAAGGAAAGACTCCTATAGAGACATGTGTTCTAGTGTATATGTTAAAAAAAGCAGTAAAGTTGTTGGTAATAAACAAGAGAATGGGAAAATTAGTAATTCTACAAAACTTAATAAAAAGCAGTTATGCAGTGATGGAGGGTCACAAGATCAATCATTAGAAGATAAAAGGGAAAGAAATTTACGTGTTGTTTTAATACTTGCTGATGGCTCTAATAATGCTTGTAAATTTTGCAGTTGGAAATTTCCTTCCTTTGAAGAACTTAAAAGTCATCTTCTGAAGCACATAGATCATCCAAGTGGTATTTTAATTGATTACCAAAGTCGTGATGTTTGCTGCGCGCTCTGCTCTTCCCTTGTTCGAAAAACCTCTTTAATGATGCATTTAAAGCTTAAACACTCTCGAGTCGTTGATCAATACGGTCAATTTAAATGTAAAACTGCAAAAGGTGACACAGAAAACAACAAAGTTACTCAAATCAATAAAGACCTTTTAAACTCTGGTAAAAAGGATGCAGAGATAATTGATACACTTCTTAAAAATAAATCAAAAAATTTTTTTAATCAACCTATTGTTATGCCCTATCCTTACACATGTGCTGTTTGCAACCGTGGTTACTTTCAGTTAAGTTCATATTTATCGCATTATCGAACATCTCACCCGTGGCTCTATGAAAATGAGCTGAATAAATATCCAAAAGTAAATAAAAAAACACAAAGTAAAACAGAAAAATCTATTTTAGAAAATGTTGTCCAGAATATTAAAATTATTGAAACCGTTTCTAAGGACAATTATATAGAAGAGTTACCAAATTTCGACATTCAAAGTGATAAATCAGCTACTTCAAACGAATATCATTTAGATATTAAATCAGCTACTTCAAACAATCATTTAGATATGAAAAGTGATAAATCAGCTACTTCAAATGATCATTTAGATATAAAAAGTGATAAATCAGCTAGTTTAAGCAATCATTTAGATATGAAAAATGATAAATCAGCTACTTCAAGCAATCAATTAGATATTAAATCTAACACTTCAATTTTATCCATTTCTAATCAGAAAAGTAATAAAATTAGTTTTTGTAAAATTGACAGCGATAGCGAGATAGAAGAAGTAACCGATGAGGAGATTGTTGAAAGTTCTTCAGAGGGTGAAAGTAATAATTTTATAAGTTCAAATATTTTATCATCACAGAATAAAGAAACTAAATGTGCATTATGTCAATTAAATTTCTTATCAGAGTTAGAGTTAAGTCATCACTTGAAAACACATAGCAACGTAGTTTGTCCCTATCTGTGCTTGTTTTGTGGTTTTACATCCAACGAAACCTTAACCCTTAAAGATCATTTATTAAGCAAACATAAAAATCTGTATACAAAGGATTTGGAGTTGAGTTCTTCTTTTATAAATCGAGATTTCAAATCAGAAAATCCAAAAACACTAGAACAGATAACATCTTCAAAGCTTGATATAATTGATAATAACTCATCTATTGCATCACAAAATGAAGAAAAAAGGTCGAGTGGTAGAAAAAGAAGTATTAACCCTAATGTTGAAAACTTTTTAAAAAGTCGAAAAAAAAGAAAAGTAACACCCGAAAAAAGCAACATAGCAGACCTAATGAAAACTATTCGTGATGTAAAATTACCAATTTTATCAAATCGTTTACTTTCGTTACATAATGATAATGTGAACAATGTTAAAACTGCTACGGAATTTGTAAACTTGAAAACCGCACATTGCAATACCGATGAACGGAAAGAAGCAAAATATCCTTGTAAATGGTGTGGCGTTTTATTAAGCTCGCAGCCTCAGCTAGATCTTCACAAAAAAAATCACCATAAAGGTTTTTCAAAAAAAAAAGAATATTTTAATAAACTAAGATGCTGTGTTTGCAGCAGTTTAATTCCGCGTTATGATTTAAAGTGGCATATGCATGTTGCTCATGATGAAGATTCAAGCATAAAACTTGAAAACAAAAAAAAGTTCTGTAAATTGTGCAAGTATTCGACTAGACACAGTCTTGATGAACACACTGCCAAAGAACATCCACATGCATTGCGAGTCGAATGCAAGTTATGCGATCAAAGATTTCCTACGACAACCTTGTACGAAAAGCATTTCCAAAAGATTCACGGAAATAGTATTGATGAAAAAGGTCTTATTTGCTACTTATGCAATAAAACATTTGAAACTTTAATTAATTTACACAACCATTATTCTGTTACTCATATGGAAAAAAATTCAGATCTGTGCTGTAAAACATGTAATAAATTTTTCTACACTCAATTAGATTTAATAAAACACCAAAGTGAATACCACAACTGTGATAAGTTTGAATGCGGACTATGTATGTTAGAGTTTAACGATGTCGAGTTATGCGTATCTCATGTGATCGTTCATAAAAAGTTAACTGAATTTAAGTGCTCCACCTGTAACTTTTACTTTGACTCTAGCGATGTTCTTAAAAAGCACATTCTTAACAGTCATGAAAGTGTATCTATTGACCATGAAAACAGTGGCAAGGTAAAATGTGTTAACACCGATATATTCATGACCAAAATGCAGGTAAATACAGAAGACGCAGAAAAATCGGATGTTATCGAACAAATTATAAATAAATGTGTTAAATGCGACGAGACTTTCATTAGAAAAGAAATATTCTTAGCTCACATGAAAAAATTTCATCCTCTTTGACAAATTATATTATGTAAATATTTTTTATTGTTTGTTTCTTGATATCGTATAGAAATCATTGTGATCAATGACTTTCAAATCTTCTAAATTACCTATTTTTAATTTAAATTACGTCTATTAAAAACATTTAATAGACGTAATTCAAATTAACATCAATATGTAAATGGCGTCATATTTACAACATCAATATGTAAATGGTGTCATATTTCTTTATATTTCTATTTGTTAGATTGAATACCTTTATTAAGTAAGAAAGATAAGTTAAATAAAAAGTATATACTAAAATAAAAAGTATATACTTAAAACATAAATAAAATTTTTAGAATAATTTACATAAATAATCACGATAAGGTATGGCTTATGTAACAAAAAGTACTCCTATCTTAACAGACATCGATTTTAATTAAATTTTGCACATTTGCTATTATTATTATAAATGTTTTATTACACACCCACTTTAAATTTCAAATAATCTTTAGCTAAAGCATTTCTGAATAAAAATTAACTGATGCAACATTGTTGAAGTGGGGGTTACTAAACTTGTATGCATATTTACTTAAGTGTTGGTTAAGGTAAAAATGTCACTTATTAAAATTTGGCCGCAACGAAATTCACTCATTCCAATCATTGGCCGCAACGAAATTCATTGTTGGTTGTTACAATTTTTATCTTGCTTAGATTTAAATTAGATTCATTTTGTTTAAATATTAGTTTCAAACTTTATGGTACTTGACAAAATTTTATTTGCAAGTTCGGCCAATTTTGAGAAAGAATAAGTTTTTTTACTTATCGATAAATTGAGTCATACTCGATATTATATATCGATAATCGAGTAAGTTCGTAAGAATCTGAGTGAAATAAAAATTTTTACAATTGTCAATTGTCTTTTTTTTATGCGTGTAACGTTAAGTCAAATTTCTAACAAGGACCTAATAATTTTTTTTTAGTTATATTCAAATAAACTAAAAAAAGGAAGAACAAATCTCCCTAAAACTGTGTCACTTAGTCTAGTAAGGGTAAGTTAGGCAGCTTTAAAAAAAAATTAATGAAACTGAACTTGAACACAAAGAAACAACTTAAATGGAAAAAAATTTTTTTGGTACATTATATATGGTAGGCATTATTTGTACGCGCGTACAACTATTTTTTAGTTCAATATGTAGTAAACAAATATTTTTTAAAAAATGTTTTCAAAATTTATCTTTAGTATGAATACAATCAATTTAATAAAATAAAAAAAACAATTTTGAAGGTCACTATTGAGCACTGCCTAATTTTTACAGAAAAGTTGCTTTTAAATCATTAATATAAATGAGTTATAGAAGTAGTCCCAATATAGATTAGGAATGTTATGTTTATATTAGCCGTTTTACATCATTGTAAGAAATGTTTTTTTTTTTTCGAACAACCCTGAGAGGAGTTTCAAACTCCTGGTTTAAATCTTCCTTTACTAATAGAACTCAATTAGTGTCTATTAGTGGGGTGAGCTCAAACCTGAACGATATCCAAGTAGGTGTTCTTCAGGGATCTGTCCTTGACCCTTTGCTGTTTCAAATTTATATAAATAACATGTCTAGAGCTTTAAAATTTTATAGAGTCCAACACTTTGCAGATGACACAAACCTTCTCTATTTTAATAAGTCTATAAAAACAATCAACAAATATGTTAACTTAAAAAACCTTAAAAAACTATGCAACTGGCTAAATGCCAACAAAATTTCCCTTAACTCCAAAAAAACTGATTTAATATTATTTAAAAGTCGTCAAAAAAAACTAGACCAGCAGCTCAAAATAAAGTTAAACGGGAAAAAACTTTGGTGCAAAAAATTTGTAAACTACTTGGGTGTAAAGCTAGACGAAGCCTGGGCTTACCATTATAACAATATATCAAATAAGTTGAATAGATCCCTTGCCATTCTGTCAAAGCTAATACATTTCATGCAATAAAAATCTTTTAAATCTATATGCTATGCTTTATTTCACTCTCACCTCACATATTGCCTTCTATCATGGAGTCAAAACATAAATATTGTAAATCGACTTTTTATCATGCAAAAAAAGCAGTCAGGATTATTGAATTTCTATCAAAAAATTCATATTCATTCACTTCTTTTAACGCATTACAAATTCTAAAACTACATGATATAATCAAAATTGAAAAGTATTTAATTATTCACAGGTGCCTAAACAAAAAGCAACCTCCTATATTTAATAAATAATTTATACTACGCAGTGCAATTAGCTGTCAACTTACAAGAAATTCTTGTAGAGGTTCACTGAGTGTGCAAACATATAATACAAAATCCTTTGGTAAACATTCCTTTAAATACTCTGCGTTAATGGAGTGGAATCAAACTCAAAATAAATTAAAATCAATTCCTTTTAATAACATTAAAAAAATTGTTCTCAAAACCATATTAAAATACTACTTGTTACATCAAGATAAATAGAAACAACAGTTGTATCACTAGTGATAAAAGATATATTCCCATTTTAGTGATTATCTGAGGCGACTACAAAGCAACTTTGACGTATAGTATCTTCATAATGGCTCGGGTAAATTTCCTAAAAATTTGGTACCCCAATAGATTTTTACTTGTGGAATCCAAAAATAGCATCAAGACTTAATTGTCTCAGGAAATTTCTCGTTTATCCAGTTTTGTTTAAAATTATTGACTTGAAAATTCATGATTTTTGGAGGTAAAATGAAGGCTGTAGCCCAAAATCCCGAATAAAAAGTTTAATTGTATATCATTATTTTATCTTAGGTCTACTGAAAAAATAAGATTATTCAATTGTCTCTCTAATACTTAATCAAAATTTGTGTTTAAAAATTGTGTCTAGAAAAATTTAAATTTTGTAAAATAAGCAATTGAAATGTTTCTTAAAACATTTATTTGAAAAAAAACATCAAATAGTGTTATTTATTGATTAGTTTAGGATGTTTATAGTCATTGGCCAAGGGAGGGCCAGAGGCCTCTGACCATCTCTGTCCCCGCCCCTGCCCCCGATCTCCCTGGATTTTTCTTTTAATGCATAAAATGATATTATAATTATTTATTAAAACTCAATTTTAAAAAAATAGTTTTTTTTTTAGTTTAAGTTTTTTTCATTATTTCAATTCAAATCGGTGAATGCTTACCTCTTATTATATCAAAAACAAGCAAAAGTTTCGTTTTGTTTTTTTTAAATGTTGTACTTTATTTGTTTGTATTTTCTTAAATAATGATTGTGAGTTTTATTGTTTTTGTATTTTTCTTTTGGCTGGTAATATTATAAATAATAAATATACTTATTATGGAGAAATGTGACTTTGGAAAAAGTCTGTGGAAAAAGCCATAAAACTGGATTTTCTAGAAAACAAGGTTTTGTTCAATTCAAAGATCTTTCTTTGTGAAAAACAAGTAGAAATAATATGGCAAGCAAATCTAAAAGAAAAACATTGTTCAATAAGACTTGTATGTTATGAGCAATTCTATGGAATAATATGAGAAATAAATATAAGAGAAAAATTAATCAATCCAATCCTTTTGGAACACACAAAGAAAGTAAAAAAATTGATATAAAAGGTAATCTAACATTACTTACAACAGAATTGATCTGGAAGTTAAAAGAAAAACATTTTATTATTAATAAAAAATTTTATGTTTTTAGTTATTTTAAAAACTTAAAACTAAACTTGTTTCTTAGGTAATATAAAGATTTCTCTAGACTTGGCAAAATCTTTGCAACAAAATAATGTTTATGTAACTCCAGGTTGAAAATTCTGCAGTAAATGTTACAAAAAACCATTATAAATAAATGAAGGTTTAAATTCAAAGGACGAATGGGAATCAAAAAGTGAGGAAAAAAATAAGTTAGATACCACTATAGAATTGCTTGGAATTTTACCAGTCAAATTAAAAAGCCTTTCAAAATACAGCAAATTGCCTGCTGCAAAAAAAAAATATTTAAGAACACTATTGACAGAGTTGCAAAATAGGTCTCGTTAGCATATAACATTAAACAACAGAAATAAAAAGCCCGTTTCAAACAACAACATTAACAATGACCATGATCTAGACATTTTAATGTATGAAATAAAAAAAATAAATTTAGAGACTGACTCTTATCGCCACATGGTGCAAATGTTAACACTCGCATCAAAATGGACACGAACAAAGATATCAATCTACTTTAAAGTGTCTGAGTATCTTGTTCGAACTGAGAGAAAAGTTAAAAATGAGCATGGAATTTTATCATTGCCCGAAAAAGAAACTAGAAACCCTCTTTCATCAGAAACAGTTAATTTAGTAATTAACTTTTATCAAAGGGATGAATTTTCGAGAATGTTGCCAGGAAAAAAAGATTTTGTAAGTGTTAAGAAAAACCAACATGTTCAAAAAAGGTTATTGCTACTCAATCTTAATGACTTACATGTTGCATTTAAAAAAGACTACCCTAGCGTCAAAGTCAGTTAGTCAAAGTTTTGTACACTTAAACATAAACGGTGAATTCAACTAATGCGTACTCATAATGTAAGTGTATGCATACATCACCAAAATACAAAATTTCTCATTGATGCTATTAGGTGGAATAAAAGTTATAAAGAATTCATGGCATTGATTCTTTGTTCGCTTAAAAATGCAGAATGTATGTTGCATTAATGTAACCGATGCCTTGGTATTGTGCAGGAGTTTATGGACCATGAGCTCAAAGAAGATGTAGCATTCAAGCAATGGCAGAGTACCGATCGTACAACACTACTATTGCAATCATTGTCACTGATGTATTTAATGATTTATTATGTGACACCATTGACAACCTTACCACTCATTCATATATTGAAAAAACACAAAGTAGATTAAAAAACTGTAAAGAAAATCTTAACCAAAACGAATGCTTAATTTTAGGAGATTATGCTGAAAATTATCAATTATTATAATTATTATAATTGTTATAATTATAATTATCAGTTATTCAGGATGAGGTACAAAGTTATCACTGGAGCAAAAGTCAATGTTTACTTTTTACAATTGTACTTTATTTTATAGAGAAAAAAGTTCTTAAACACAAATTTTTTTGTTACCTTTTAGAAGATGTTGATCCTGGCACAGGATTTATTTACAAGACTCAGGAAGATATAACTATATATATCAAAGAAAATCTACCTGATGTATCAAGTGTGAAATACCTTTCCGAAAGTTGTGCAGCATAATTTTAAAATTTAAAAAGCTTTATCAATCTTTGTCATCGCAGTAAAGACTTTGAGTTAAATGCTGAATGGGTATTTTTTGCTACCAGTCATGGTAAATCCCCCTGTAATGGTATTGGTGGGATTGCTAAAAGAAAAGTATATCAAGAAAGTCTAAAACAAATAACTACTGGGCAGATTTTAGATGTTAATTTAATGTGCTCTTTTTGTGAACCCAAGGTAAATGGAAATTGTTTTAAATTATTTTCTAAAGATGAAATCGACCAAACACGAGAACAATTAGAAAAAAGATATTTAGGTGGAAGAACAGTTCCTGGCATAAGGACGTATCATCACTTTATTCCAATTGCTTCAAACACTATAAGTTATAAAAAAATAAGTATTGATACATGTTTTGAAATATTTGATATCATTCCAAAAAGCAAACATAATGAAGAGATTTCATTAAAAATTAAAAAAATGAATTGCATGTTTTTATGACGGATTTTGGTCGGTGGGGATTGCTGACAATGTAAGTGACCTTGATATAAAAGTCAGATTAATGCACATGGACTAGGTAAAAACTTCTTTTGGACAATCAGAAATGATAAGTGTTGGGTGTTTAATTCTAAAGTTATGTGCCTAATTTCTACACTCACAACAATATCAGGTCTTACGTACAACATATATGATTCAGATTTGGAGAATATAAGCAGTAAGTTACAAAAAGAAAATTAAATACGTTAAAAATAAATTTGTTGTAATTTTATTTTAACAGAGTTGGTCAGAGACCCCCGTGTACTATTTTTGGCTTCCATAAGTAAAAGTCTATTGGGGTACCAAGATTTTTGGATATTTTCCCGAGCCATTATGAAGGTACAATACGTCAAAGTTTGTAGTTGTACTTTTGTAGTTGCCTCAGATAATCACTAAAATGCTGAGTCGGTATTATTTAAACTGACGATATCTCTGGAACCCATGTGTATTTTTAACTAGAATTTTCTCAGTTGTTATTTTTTTAATATGGACTGCAAGTGAGGTAAAAATGAATAAATTTTGTGACGTAAGGGTGTCGAAAATGTTTTTTTTTTGGATGATATCATATGGAATTACCCTGATATAAGTCTAAGAGTGTTATGGAGTCGATAACCACTAAGCCCTATTTATTCAATATAGATGTGTCTCACTTAAAATAGTTTTCAAAATATATTTTTGAAAAACAATTAAAATACATTGCAAAAATAACACTGATTTATGCGTTTATTTTAATAGCTTCTTTTCATTGTGTGACAATTTTTTTCACAAGAGATTTTTCGAAGTTGATTGAGTTAATTTTAATTTTAAATCTCTTGATGTTTTTGGCATTAACAACGTTAGACTGCAAGTTATTCCAAATATTAACAAACTTGAGGGGAAAAGAATATTTACGAAGATCGAGTTTGCACATTAGTTTGCATAATTTTAATTTGTGACCTCGAGTGTAAAAATGGTTGTTTATGAATAAGAAATTTGATATGTTAAGACAAACTTAATTAGCGCAAATTAACAAGCGTTGTTTTGTAAAAACAATTCAGTGCTAGAGATTTCACAAGCTTTTATTCCAACTTTTTAATATGGATCCGGAGCTGGGTACCCGGACTCGGACTCGGTATTTTCTGCCGGAATCGGGTACTCGACAGTTTATATCGGGTACCCGGAATCGGGTACTCGACATAAACTGGTTCTATCTCTATTCACAAGTAAATAAATTATCATTTTTTTAACATTTTTAGTCTTCAAAACAAATTCGCAGTTGGAGACTTACAATGCCAAACCTATAAATATAACAATTTCTTCTTCGTAAAAGCAGGACATCTGGCAACTCAAGGAAAATTATAATTATAACTTGCTTAATTAAAGTGGCACTACTTTTTGTTATTCGAGTTAATTTATTTATAATCGGAATGAAAACATTTTAACATATGATATTGAAAAAAAGTTCTGACGTCTTTATTTTTGTCATATTCAATCAAATCTAAATTTAGATCGCTCAAAGTAAACGCATTTGCCACTTAATTCTTCGTTTATAATTAAACTTTAAATTTGTTTGTTAAATATTTTTTTATTACAAGAAGTCAATCTATATGACGTGACAACTGCGTTTTAGCTTGTTTTGTTTATAACTTAATTCAAAATCCTGCGTCATTGCAAAATATTCTTTACGTAGTTTAAAATCTAAAGAGTTGTGGATAAATGCACAATCCTCCACCTGTTTTTTCACAACCCTCCATTTATTTTTAATATATTTTTTCAAGTTTAGAGACCACGGTCTCTAACTTGATAAAATACAATACGGTACGAGGTACGATGATAGGGGGGTTCTGATTGATGAAGAGGGATGAGATAACAATTTTAAAAAGATCAAACCGTGATCAAAAGCATCTAAAGGTGAATGTGGAGAAACTGAATATTGACTGGGATTTAAAAAAAAGACATAAGTCGAGTAGAGATGGTAAATGATTTGAATTGTTAGGAAAACAAGATGGAAAGTTGACTATTTTTGTTAGAAATTGAGAAAGGCAAAAGTTGTGCGCGTTAACACCTGCAGAATCAGTGACTCTAGAGCCAAGCCATTCAGTATGATGAGCATTAAAGTCACCAACAACAACAATATTGGTTGATGGACAAATAGAGTGGGCTCAGTCAATTTGATCAGAAGTAACATCAAAAAGAGTGCAGTCTTGAGATGAAGGAAAGCAATATAGAACAAAGAGAAAAGTGATAGAGTGAAATGGTACAAAACGAAAAGCACATAAAAGAATAGTCTCGGTTAAAAAGATTGGAAGCATCTGAATTATGTTGGGATAACTTTTACAAAACATCTCCAATATTGCAAGCAGCAGGTATGGCTGCAAAAGAAATTTTCAAAAAAAATCTATAAAAAATTTCCTATACCGTTGCGCAAGTACAATTTAAAAGTTTATTAGAATATACGATCAGACATATTGTACAATTATAAGAAGTGATTTTTCACCATAATAACTTTATACTAATAAAAATAATGCAGAGATAGTATTTAGCTACAGTTTTGATGGCAGTTTCTGTTACTCAGCCAAAGAAAAAATTTATACTGCTGGCAGTCACTCTGATTTAAATTTATTTGACAACTATTGTACCACTCCGTATGAAGATGATACGATCTAATGGAACAATTGTTCTCCTCAACTAATGAGATTTTCTAGACCGGTAAAAATTGAATACATAAAGGAATCCAAGGAGCACATTTTTAAAGAAAAGTATGATATTAACGGACAAAAAAAGAGACAATTTTTTTGTTTAATAATAAAAAACTCAAATGAACTTTACTTGATGACGTTTATTGATGGAAATATTTTAAATACATCAACTGCAACAAAATCAAATCAAGTGATGTAGACATGTAGAAATACAATGATTTTGTTAAAGTACAGGAATTTAAGAACACTGAAACATTCAACCGCGAACACTTTACAACACACCTTTAGTCCACTGAATGCTTAGATACGATTTTTTTTAGAATGCATTGTCATTAAGATATGATTTGTGTAAATGGCAACTTCGTGGTATCATGGCCTACTTTATTTATAAATAAAGTAGGCCATGGTGGTATTAATAACAAAAAAATTTTATTAAAAAAAAAAGTTTTACAAAAAAGGTTTATCGAAAACTTACACCTTCACATAGATAAACCGTAGGTTGAAGGTTATAATATTGATGCATAGTTGTATATTATATAAAATACAACTATTTATCCATATTATATATTAATCATATAAAATTTAGTTATAAAATATTTAGTACACTATTATGAATTTTAAGAAATAAAAATCATTACAAAGGGAATGGTGCAAATCCGCGTAACTAGCATTGGCTACTATATTTGAATATTAATAATTTTAACACCAAATACCTATTGTTGACATTACAAAAAACATAAATATTACTCTTTATACTAAAATGAACCCAAAATCTGTAGCAATAAAAAATACATAAAGTTTTTAACTTCTCCAGTAAAAAAAATGTACTGTAGATACAAGGTATTATCCAATGCTAGTTTTGCGACGATTAGTGTTTAAATAAGTTATTAATTTGTGCCAAAAAATCGAACACGTTTAACATTTAAATCGTTTTGTTAAAAAGAAAACTACTATTAAGATATAATGATTCTATTAAAATTTAAAAATCACAAAAATACTATCATAAAAATAAAGCGATAAAATAAAATATCTAAAAATTTAAAACAAAAACGAAACAAAGTTACGAGCGATCTGTTGCTCGTTTTAAATAAAGACTAAAAAATATATATTCGTATATCAAATTATTTACAAGGGCGTAGTTAGAAGTAATAAGTAACAAACTATTAACAAGGCACCAGTAAGAAATTATTAACAAGGGCGCAAATTATTTACATGAATGAAATAAGAAAAAGTTAAGCAAAAGTTATACATATTTACAGTAGTTCAGATTTTCTAGATATAGTTTTAAAAATTCCTTTTTTCAAATTATCTTTGTTAACAAGCAAAGTGTTTTCTTTGAGTTTATTATGCTCAATAATTGTTGTTGTGTCAGATAGGTATACTTTTTTCACTGTCATTTTCTTATACAACCACAAGTAAAGACACACAAAAAGTACGAGGACGCACACAACCATACATCCGACTAACGGAAAAAAATATCCTAAAATAAAGAGATAAAATTAGCAATGCAGATTGAAGCAAAAATGTTTTAAAGTAAATAGTTTTCAAATGCATTGGAAAATTAAAAAAAAAGATGAAATTTAACTTAATAAACTTAAGGGAGTCTAGAAAAACAAAATCTAACCTTCTTCTTTTAAGAAACTATGCATAGTAGAAGGTTTTTCAATGGTTGTATATGCAACAGAACGAAAAAAAAGAACTAATGTAGGCGGCGCGTGCCATTTAAAATTTTCAAATTGTTCGACAAGTGTGTGCTTGTACTTTGCAATCTCCAAAGATAGCTGAATTGCTTTTTTTTTGCTATATATATTAATAATTAATTGATCCAGGGAAGAGTTAAAGCGAACATGAGAACACTGTAAGCTAACTTCATTGGAAATAAATAAACTTTGAACTCTTTTATAAATGTGAAACTGTTGACATAATTCTTCTAATAAAATTCCCTGCAAACAAGATTTTTAAAAATTTAACATTCTTGCTAATTTTCTTTTAACTTTATTTGTACTTTATGTCAATAAAAAAAGATTCTTACCTTTGGAAGCATTCTAACATTAAAAAAAAAGATGACTTTAGCACAGTTCTCTGCCAACTCTGTATTAAATTCAGTGAAGCAGCCCATATATAATACTGGGATTGTTTGAAAATTACACATACCCCAAGGCAAACAAGGAGGGGTGATACAATGCCCTTCTACAAATTTGCATTTACAGTTTGGATCTTCAATTTGATAACAATTTGGTAGACCACACCATACATCTGTACATTTTGCAACTCCATCATCACATCTGCAAACATTGCAGGCATCATCCCAAGTATCATTGTGAATATACCACATTTCCCTGTACATACATTGCTTGTACTGTATAGAAGCTATAAAAAATATCAAAGCATAAAACAAAAATCATTTTAAATTCAACACTGATCAAAATAACAAAAATAAAACTAATAGATTGAGTTAAACTTCTATTTTGAAGTAAATTTTAAATTAAAATGTTTAAAAACATTCATTTCCTTTATATTAAAAACGACAAAAAAAATATCTATCAAATAATATATAAAAATATCCATTTAGTTTGTGGGAAAGTAAAAATAACTTACTAATTTCACAGTTTTTCCCAGAGAATCCTAAAGGACATCTGCAATCATAAATCTGATC